CCGCTGGCCGGGCCCTGAGCCCCGCGCCCTGTCAGGTCGGCTGGTGCGCGGATTCCTGCCGGTTCCCACCGCGGCGACAGCGCAGCGGAGGTTCCCGGCAGAGCTGAGCCTGCGAGCCCCGCCTTTCCTGTCTCCCTCTCCAGGCTCCCGCTGAGGAGAAGCGTGCGGCCTGCTGCCCGCCGCGCTGAGGCACGCGCGCCATGTGAAGAACCCCCTTCCCCTAAGACAAAGGAACAAATTCCAATAAGCTTCATTTGGGCCTTTTGCCATGTCATCCCAGTAGGGCCATACCTGTAGAATATACCAAATGGTGTGTATGACTTTATGCTGAGATTTCACTGCAATTTAGGAAGAGATTAATGATTTTATGCCATATTTTGGACAGCAGTGCGTCTGTATGTATGGAGTTGGCTACCACCCTAGTACATTGAAGATATTTTCTGGTGCTCATGGTGTCTCCTTGCAGTTTTCAAGTTTCCCCTATTTTGTTGGTTTGGTGGTGGGGTTTGTGGGGTTTTTGTTGTGTGGGGTTTTTTCTTTATGAACTCTTCTGCTCAGCATTTTCCTTAGGAAGCTGATTGCCTTGTGTCATGATCTGGGAGCCAACATCATTAACAGGCTTGCTTGGCATGGCTCTGTATGGTCTCTGGGCTTTCAATTGGATTTGATCAAATAGCGTCAGCTTATTGCTGTTTTGGGAAGGTTGAAAGTAGAAAAAATGTTGGTGGATAACAACACCAACAGCAAATCTGTCAGAGCCTTATCGCAGCAAAGACCTCATTGGGTCTTAGAAAGGTATTCTTCTGAACAAAATGTCTTCAGGACTTCCTTCGCCTTAAAGCACTGAAAAAACAGCATGTTAGGAGCATATGATTATCTTACTTGCTGAACACTGAAAAGCAGTTACTGAACAACTGGGAAGTCATCCACAAGCTGCAATATTAAATAGGTCTGGTGGAAATGGTTTATAAGCTTACTGTGCAAGTTGAACACTTGAATAAAAATAACAAACTGTATGAGAAGCTGGCATAAATATGATTTCCACAGGGAATGTCTCAACTTTGATTATGCATTGTTACGAATACTCTTCCATTGACAAAATAATCTTCACATTTAATTTACCGCAGTGTGGTTTAATCTTTCTAACGATGAATTTTGACATTTTCATCGTTAGCGTTGTAGAAGTTGCGTTTTAACGGGGGAATGAGGCTAGAGACATGCATGCATTTTTCTGTTACGTGTTTAACTATTGTTCATGGTATTTTTTTTATGTTAAATGATTGTTTTGCAAGTACGAACAGAAGGTTTTTGGTAAAACATCAGATGGGCAGTATTCAGGAACGCCTTTTCATTACCTACACTTGGGTCAGAATCTGAACTCTGCCTCTAATAAGAAAGTCACAATTAAAAACTGAATGCATGAATTTGAAATCTTAATTAAATTTACCCTTGGAGAAGCACAAACCTTATAATGATCACTTAAAATATATTGGAAGTGTTTTTTTCTTGTTTCTTCCTTTTTCTGTTCACTTAATCTTTTTTCTTTTTAAACCCTGAAGAGCATAAAGTTGAAGGTACAGACACAGCAGGATGAAACAATTCTGCAGTATTTTCTCCTCAGAGTGACAATACTATCACATTATAATTAAGAAATAGTTTAGATAATAGAAAATACATTTTGGACGTGACAGTTTATTTCTCTTATTGTGCAAGATTACCGTAAGAGTATGGATGAACATGGCAGTTTGATGGAACGACTTAATAAAAATTTGCTCAAAACAGCATTCTGTGATTGCTGTTTCCTTGTTCAACACATAATGTAACAGCAGTTTAAGCTTTCTCTTCCCTTGAGGTGAGGAAAGTGCCTTAGAGATCTGTGAATTCCACAGACAGCATCAGTAATTGACACTCAAATTAGTCCTTTCTAATTTGTGAAATTAACATCTCTTTTTTGCAGCATAAATAATAGGGTAAAAATAGTATATTAGAGGCTTTATAAAGTAAAATAACTATGTGCCTCAGCTTTTTGAACAGTATGGCTTCAGTATGCATGTGTATATGTACCTGTATGCGTGTGTGTATACATATATGTGCGCATGCGCACACACACACGCATCCATGGTATATTTTCTTATTTGTCACATATGCCAAACAGTATTGTAAATTATCAAAAAGTCATATCAGAGATTTCTTTAATAAGAAGAAAAAACGTAACTTTTGTGCCTGATGGAAGTTGCTGGCATCTTTTCAAACAGGTTCTCTAATGATCTTGTTTCACCATGACAACCAATATGGAGGTGCTGGCTCAGCAGGTAGTGGAGACTCAGCAGGTGGCTGAGGTGAGTGACAGATGATATCACAACAGTTGGTATATGAGCTTTTGAAATGAAAAACATATTAGGGAGTCCTTGCTGTTTACAATTAGGCATAAATGGAACAGAAAATTTTTATAGAATAGTATTGCTTTACACTTGGGGACAAACAAGGAATCAGTGCAACCTGTACGTGGTTTGTTCAGCATGAACTGTAGAGAAATTTGGCTGTATTATGGATTGTTTAAAAAATTAATCCAACAATTTCTGATCATATGATTATTAGCTTGGCCATTTTGGACATGAAAGGTTTCTGCTCATCTCTTGAGTTGTCAACTGAATCCAGAACAGGGTTTGAAGTTACCTGTTTACTTACGCACTATACTGAATTTACAGTAGGGTGACTAATTGAAATCAGTCTTTATATTTTCTGCCAACATGTATGATACAAAGAGCACAAAATCTATTTAAGGTGTTATTAAGTGATGTCTTGTCTTCATGTGTTTTCGCTGAAGCATGAATGCTCAGCTAAAATGTCTAAATCAACTCATAAACATTGAAACTGCATTTGATCATGGCCATAGAAAAGAACCTATTTATCTCCCTCAGTATGCAAACTTCAGTCAAAAAATAAACTAGAATTTGTCTGTTTAAAATTATTTGGTTTAATGTCCTTTAAATTTACTATGATTTATTGTATGATTACATAATTAAGGGATTTCATGAATAATGAAGGGCAAGTAGGCTAAGAGACCTCTGTAGACAAGGCCACTTTTCAGACATTAGTTCGGGTATGGGTTTTGCCCTATTGAACTAAAGTTAAACCTGGGTATTAAAAATTCTTTTAGTTAAAGAAGAAGCTCTATATATGAGGAAAATACGTGTGTCGTGTTTTCAGAAATGGATTTGAGAATTCCTACTTAGAGCAACATTTTTCTAAAAAAAATTTGGTTCTTTTTAAATAGTGTGGAAAATGGCCTGTTGAGTATCTTGGAAATAACATCTAAGGAGTAGTTTTAAAAAATTCTAAAATTTCCCACTGAAAACTGACAAGTGAATCTGCACTCTAGTTTGCTGTACCAGGTACCAATTTGGTGAGCTGCATTTTTTAAAAACACTTCCAAACAAATTGGAAATAAAAACCTGTAACAGAAATACTGCCAAACCTTATACTATTTTCATAGAACTTGAGTGCTATAATCACATCTAAGGCACATAAAATATGTGACATTTGTAATTCCTCGTGCAGGAAATGCACCGTGGTAACATAGTGTGATGGTTGTATCTTGCCACTGGAGAGATCGCTCCATCTCAAGAGTGTATGAAGCTCTGTGATTTCTTCCTGGCCGGTGGGTAAATAGAGGGCTTCATCTCTTTATAGTATTCAACTCCTCCTTAAATTATATGCCTGTCCACTGCATAACACCATGAAAACTTTGTTCATGGAAAAACAGTTATAAGCAGCATTATCTCATTCAGAATTAATTAATGCTATGACAGTGTTAACGTTGAACCATTTCTTTATGAATGGCTGGCTGCCTGCTATTTGTGTCTTCAGTCAGATACAGTTTTTAATACAAGTAAATATGTTACTAGTTTTCTTGAAGTATGCTAAATTCTGTATTTGTACTTGCTGCTTCTTAGAGAAAATGTAGCATGAAACTTGGCACTGGCTTTAGAGGGGCTTTTTCAGAATATCATTAATCATGCACTGAATTTGAAGTTCTAAATGATGAGCAGACAAGCTGCAAATAGGGTAACTTAATGCAAATATCGGCAGGTTTAGCTATATCTGCATCATTTTTGCTATGTAATTGCCACATATGTAGTGTATGGGTTTGTTGAGGACTATGATACCAAGCACCAAATCAGACTGCCATGCAAGTAGGCCGTATGTTATTTTTCTTTCTTGAGCAATAGTTCATCAGGTTTATTTTCCGTGAAACTGTGAATGTAGCACAGAAGTTACTGAGTGCGCTCCAGTATTGCATGTATTTTTGTATTTATTCTATTTTTGGGACTTTGTAAAATTGTCTTTATAATGGTTTCACTGCTGTTGCTTGCTTCTGCTTTATAGCAGTGTTGCTTGTTGCATTTTTCCAACTGTGTGTTTCTGAACAGATTGGGTGAGAATGTTCCATTTTTAGTGTCTGCAGTTGCCTTTACTAACAGTTTGTGAGGCTGGAGAACAGAGAGCAGTTAGGGGATTCAGAGAGAATTTCAACACTTCTTCCCCATTCTGAGTAGCTTCTGAAAAGCATAAAAAATACTTTAGCCTTAATGCAAAAATAAATAACACTGCTTTTCTCAAGTATTTATTTAGTACTGGTGCTGCACAATGTATCAGTGGCCCAGCTTCAGTCCCAACACCAACTTAGATTAGATTTGTATATTGTTTCATAAGAAAGTATTTGGTTAAACTACAAATGTGTTCTTCTGTGGTGGATCTGAATTTTATCTGTCATTCTACCAAGGGCCCAAGTGGTCAGGACGGTTAATTCCAACGAGTATTACTGAAACTTTTTTAGATATATCTTACATCTGTGAAAGAAATACATTTGGCCATTTCCAGGCAATAAATAAAATTTTCCTTAAAAGCCTATTATTAATTTAATAGCTAAAGAAGTTAATTAGGAAAAATATCGATAGAAAAATAAGTCTGATTTCATCTGAGAGGTAGCATTTTTTATGGTGTAAAACTTGGTACCATATTTTTCATTGAAATTCTTTAACTGTTTTATGAGAAAAAACTTGTAAAAATCGTTTCAGTTTCTGTGTGCAGTAGAACATATATGGTCTGTGATTGCTTAACTATGCCTTACTTTAATTTCTATTTTCTTTTATATACTAATAATAACTCTGAAATTGGTTGTTGCTTAGTGAGAACTGACCGGTTTATTCAAGCAATACAATTACTTGGGCTTTTAGTGGTGTGAATATAGAAAATGTTCTTTTACTTAAGTTAGAGGAGCTTAGAGGCTTTAAAAATTCCTGCATTATGTCACCAATTGTTTATTCCTTTAATGTATTTATCAGATACTGCTTTCATAATCAATGTGGTAGTGGGGAAATAAGCTATAGAAAGTATTGAAAATTTGGTTACTAAATACAAAAATTTATTAGATATATACGTCTGCTCATACAAACACCCCTACACACATAGGTATGTGTGTACACTGGGCAAGTCAGTTTAGTAAATCAGTATGTGACTTGGCTATGTAGCTATGAAGAAACCATATTTGTTTCAGAGGACATATAAAAAATAATGGAATGTCTAGAGCTTAGCTTCAAACTATCAATTTTATATACATACACAGATTTTATATATACTTATATATTGGAAATTTAATATAATATTGCAATTAAAATGTATAATCAAAGTGAACTACTGAAAAATTACAGAACAAAATCAGAATACATAAATCAATATACATTTTATATATGTACATTTTAATTTGGCTAGTTTGTCTTTTGATTCAGGAAACAAGCAACTTTTAGTCTTTTTTTTTTCTATGTGTTTTGATATCACGTCTACTTAAGTGTTAGAAGGGTTCTGCCTTCTCTTTGCCATAGAGATATTCCAAACTTCGGAGTTGGGAAGTCTACTTCAGAACACAGGGTTATGTAGTGATAAAGCATTATTATGTTCAGGATTTGGATTTTGTTCCAGGAAAGACAGCTGCTCATAAAGTATCGTAAACAACTTTACTGAATGAATTGGACAAATAAAAGCCTAGAGTGACAGGGCTAAGTGTGGTGTCAAATAAGCACAAGGAAAATCCAACTAAAATTTCATTGGGTTTTCTCACGTGTCAGTTTCCCTCCAGTAGATCACAGTTGACCTAACATTTACGTTGTACCCATGCTGTAAATACAGTCCTGTAGTTACAATCGTTATTCATAGAAATTATTTTTAGAGAGTTGTACAACGGATAATTGTTATTTTTCTATCAAGTAAAGTAATTTCAATACTGAGCACATTTCTGTGCTAGGATGGGGAGTCCTTGAAGTTAAAAGAAAATACCAGTGCTACTTAAAGTTGCCTAGGTCATGCATTTGTGGCATAAGGCCTTGTAGTGGAGGCATTGTTTACTGATGTAAAACTTGCCAAGCATGTGGTAATTTTTCACAAAACTTCACATACCATAACTTTAACAAATTTCACTTTCTATGAATTTTAAAATATTTTCTGTTTTCACCCATTTGTCAGCCATCACTGCAGCCTCATATGAATGTTTTGTTAAGGAGTTTAATTGATCACATGTGTGTTGTGAACTTCCTGTAAGAATTCTTAAGTGTATTAAGACTGATTATGCTACTTCATATTTGAGGGCCCTGGACTAGTTTAGAAAGGCCTATGTTCCTTTAAATACATTAGCTTGATGAACTTTAAGGCTAAAGATGCTCCACAGGGAGTGTGGTGGATTTTCCTTTTAATTTTGCTGATTTGAAAATAATTCAAGATACAGGCAAACTCTTTCCTTGTATTTCTTTTTGCTGTTTTACAGTTCACAGAGAGTGAGCAGGTTGAGGGGCTTTAGCAGAGAACAGGGGGAGAGGAAAGCTTGATAACCTGGGACTATCTTCCCCAGGTGAAATTAATCTTACTGTTAGACAAACTCCTTCAGCAGCTGGCAAAACAGCAGGAACATGTCGATTCTGCTTCCTTGGTTACAGGGAGTGATAGTGCACTTGACCTTCAGAGGAGCAGGGTCACAGAGAGGGCATTTTAAAACAATGCTGGCTGCTTTCTGTGATTGGAATCTTCAGTAATGGAGACGGGATGAAAATATCTCTGATCTGACTGAAAGTGACCTCGACATTTCTCTCGGATTGTTTTGCCCTCAGAGGTTTGCTGAGGAAAAATGTAAATAAGACTGCAGGAGGAATTTGACACTGTAAGTACTAGAGTCTGTGCAGTGTACAGCTAGGGAGCTCTAGGAAGGAAACCATACTAAGTGTATTAAAGAACATTATTTTTCCCCTGTCTCTTAAAATGAGTGTATTTGATGTGTTTTTTGTAGGGACATAAGAGGGGGTTGAGCTCTTTTACATATTACATTTTCTGACTATGTCTGAGCCACAGCGTTAGGGGTTACTTTTAGAGAATTGTTGATTAAGCCTCCGTAAAACGTGGTGCGCTGAAGTTTTCTATGATACATGGCCTACTTTGTTTCTTTCCTCATCTATTGAAGAGGTTATAATTTGAGACTCCTTCCAGTTTTAAAGAAATTAAAGTGTATTTAATTTAAAAAAATATATTAGAATTACAGAAATGTACCATTATTGACTTTGGAGGACTAGGTTTTAGCATGTGCAGCTTCCAAAACAGTTGCTTTAAAGATGATATGGGTTTCATGGTGTCATGTTTCTTCTGAACAACAGATCAAAATAGTCAATGTTATGTTTAATCCTGTAAGTGAACCTAATATAATGCTAAACTGTATAATCTTCCTGATATGAGTACTTACGAGCCATTTGTTTCCAGAATGCTTTGATTCAATTTATTTGGGAGTGTAATTAATGATAACTTAATTTTTCCTATAGTATTTCTATAAGCTGTCTGAAGTAAACCTTTTAAATCTCTGATAGAACTTTGAGTGTTGCATACTTTTGGACTACTAATTTTTTTTTTTTTTTTTTAATATTTTTACTTAAGAAGTCAAACTTGGTGCAATTCATTGGGTAGGACCATAATAAATCATCACATATTTATGTGTCCTGATCCTTTGTAGATGTGTGACAACGCCCAAGGTAGAAACTTAATTTTCTGTCATTTTGTTTTGACAGCTTTTTTGCTCCTCAGTCTTTGTAAATATGTTCACTTTTTGCATTTGATTTATTTACCATGGTTGTTCTGTTGTGAACCAATGGCATGTGTATTCAGTCTGGAAAATAAAGTGAGATTTTTAGTAGCAGTCAGAAATGTAAACCTGTTCTTGTTCCCCTGAGTATTAAGTAGGCAAGCCTAAAATAAGGTGAAGTTTTGCATTTCAGAGTCCTACACCATCCTGAGTCTGTATGCATGTTAATAAGGTATAAAAATAAATTCTATGTGCATAGTGAAGCATTTATTGGTATTAGACCAGTTATTCTTCATTGGTACACCATATCTTCTCAGCCAAGAGAAAACTAAAATAGTGCCTGATTTCAGTTTAATAAATACATGTTCTTGAATATTCAGACATGAAAATGACATATCAGCATGTAATGGCCGCAGGTCTCAAACTTACCTAACGTTACAGAGGACTTGCTGTTAGACTTAAGATATCCAACTAGTCGTCAGTGAGGATGAGAAATAACTCGTGCTAAAGGAGACTGGAGTTGATCAGTCAAAATACTCTTTGTGTGAGGATGTGGTCCATTCTGTAAAAACTGAGGAGTGTTCTAAAGCATAAAGCACTAGTTTTCATATTGACATAGTACCTGGAACCACTGTTGTACACTAGGACCCCTTCACAGCAGGTACTTTACAAATCCAGAAAAAAGAAACGGTTGTTTAGTTCCCAAATACTTCAAGAAGAATTTTAGTGCAACTACCATATATATACTGGCATTCTTTTTATAAGCTGCTATAAATCCTTGAACAACATGGAAAAATAGTTCTATTTATTTTCAAGTTGCCTGCAGTGCATTGTGGTGTAACATTCAAAAGTGCTTCAAAAAAAGGCTAAGGATTTTATAATTGAAGGTGAAAGAATTGGAAAACAGTTTTAGAACATCTTCTTGTTCTAATTTAGACCTTTCAAAGGATGCATAGCTTAGATAATAATTTGGCATGGAAGATAAGGAGATCATTGTTCAAATGTGTCCTCTAAGAGTCTTGGTTTTGAAAGTCTTGGGTTTTTTCTCATCTTGTTTTCCGCTGCTGGATCCCTTGTATCCTCCAATAATTAGAAGATTCTACTATTCCTACATCTCTCCTGTACATTTTCCTCATTTATCATGCAACTTTTGTGACCTGTGTATGAAAGATAATTAGAGATGGTATATCCGATTTAGGTTTTACTTTTACAGTACGGGGGACTGCTTATGGTACAGTAGGAGAGTAGCACACTATGGCTTCATGAAGTGCTGTGGATTTTAACACCTTTGCTTCTCCAAAGAGACTGAAATAATTTTTCCTTGCTATCAAAACTGGTTTTTCTTTCTTTACATCACAGATGAACTTTTTAGTATATTAAACAAGAAAACTTTAAAAATCAAGATTTTTCCATTCAATCTTATATAATTACTAAATGGACACTACCGTGTTGTCCAGCTGTATAGGTTTTCATAAGTAAATCATTCCACGATTGTTTAAAAGAGGATTTAATAAAAACAACTTGTGAGCTTCTTGGGTTTGGCCATGTCACTGCAGATATTAAACACTAATTTGATACTCTCAAATTGCCATATAGAGTGCAGTTATTGTAATCAGTCATACTCTAAACACAGTCCTATAGATTCTTCAATATAAATGTGCATTTAGGAGGTATCTGTGAAAAATCAAATAATTGTTTACAAACAAAAGTATTGTAAATGATATAATTTACAATATAAAATTATTTTAAATTATGAAATTGTAAAATAAGTTTTACAATGTAAGTATTTAGCATTAGGCAGACTTACATAAAAGTCTAGGCTGCAAAGTCACTGACAGAACATTTTTAAAAAAAACAGAGTTTTGGCCTAGATGCGTTGTTTTCAAATAAGTAGTTAAGGGTTAAACTGAGTGTAGAAGAAATCAGTAGTGCCATATTCTGTTCATTCTTTATAGAGTACATCACTGCAGTATTTTATTCCAGTTGAAATGGAATGTCTGTGTAAATTTATATCGTATTGTTAGAATTTACAATGCTTGTTATTCGGGTATGCTGCATTTGTAAAATTTGCTGCTAGCAGTCTAGCAGTCTTTTAAATATTATTGTGGTTTTCCATTATTTTATATAGTAACTTTCAATAAAGAGTGTGACAGAAAAAGTATCGGTGTTGTGCTGTTGACTGCAGACAGTAATGTCACCTCTGGAGTTGCTGTAATCTTGTGTGCGCTAACTGTTCAAGTATTTTGGCAACTTTTTTGAAAATACTGGTGAACAAATGCAGTGTATGGCTTTAGAACCAAATTATCTCCTTTTGTTTTGAATTTTCTCACAAAACATTGAGCCATGTGACAGACTAGTAACTTGTAAAATGCACAAAGAAAGCAGAGCTTTTGTAATGAATACAGCACAAATAAGCCTATGTAATTTTCTTCTAAATTGCTATATTAGAAGTAGCAGAATGATTCAGCTTTCCCTCTCCTCTGTTGCAAGGGATGTTTTTCAAACTCTTTGTAGGTATTCAGAACTAGATTTGCATTATAGTTTGGTGCTCTAGAAAGATAGGGAATAAAACAACAGTAATACTCAGTTGTAGTGCCAAATTTAATCTCTGTCATGCCAGCAAAATCCTCACTAGAATAGCAAGACTTAACCAAATACACCTGAATACATGCTGAATATATTGGTGATGTGTTGGGCATGGATTGCAGAAAGAATCTGCACCACTTCGAAGCAGAAAAAGAGAAATTGGGGGACAATAAAAAAGGGGGAAAGATATGAGCACACTGAATAACTGAAATTCTAATTTATTCTACTGTCTAAAACGCAGATATCCAGATAACCAGCCATCTTTTAACTTTTCACTTTAAAAATACTTATTGGACAGTTAAAATTGTTGTTCTATTAGGAAAAAACAGCAATTTCATTTTTTAAGTGAGCTGCATAGACACCACACTTTCAGAAGGCTTCATAGATAAAATAAGGTCACAGATATAAAAATTAAAGTCCAGTTTGGTCAGATAGGAGTTCTGTATTCCATATATCTCTTCTCCCTTCTGTGTTCCAGGACATTTTTATTTAGGGGCCTAGAGAAAGCTTTTATAAGTCAGGGCTGCCTGAAAATTAAAAAGTAGTTCATAAAATACTTTATTAAATGGTGAAATATTTAACATACATTATTGTATATACGTTGTATTTTGTTCTACAGAAGCCAAAAATGAAGCAAATATATAGTGAAAAGTTGAAAAAAGTATTTCTGCACTTCTGTAAACTGAAGGATCACATAGTAAATATCCAGTGATTTATTTGGGGGGAGTAGTTGTGGGGTTGGTGTGGTTTTCTGGTTTTGATCGTCTATCAGATTCATTCTGTTCCCCCCAAAAAGCCAACATTCTGATAATTTAATGAAAACAAATCCAAGTTGGTTTAATGACTGTAACCTTTCCAATTAATTTAGATTCCATGCTACAGGACCATCTGATCTTTAATAAATATATGTATTTTTAAGTGTTCAGTACTGTAACAGTATATGAAAATTCTGTATGTTATTTACAGGTGCAGACTGTTCAGACTTCACTATCTGAATCTCCAGTGATGACCAGCCCTTCCCAACGTATCCAGATAATTTCCACAGACTCCTCTGTAGCTTCACCACAACGCATTCAGGTAAAAATCCATTTATTAAGTAGCTAACTATTAATTATTTTTTTTCTCCTTCTCCCACTTAGGTTTATAAAAAAGTATACCAAAGTGTATGGAGGACTTCCTTAAATTATGTGAGAACAGATAATTTTTAGTGCAAACTAAAACTCTACTGCCTCTGCATGTATTTAGTGACTAGTTGGCTGTAAATAATTTTTGTATTGATGATGTAGTCAGTGAGGAATATTTGCAGAGGTTAAACTTAGCCTACGTTTACAAATCTGCTGAGCTCTAGCCATAGCAAATGTCAGACATTGTCAACAGAACACCTAAGATAATCTCCAAGGGCATTCTTCTCTCTCCCTCTCTCACGTTTAGGAGCCAGTGGGAGAGGAGCCTGTGTAGGATAGTGTTAGCCTCTGGGAGTGCTGCACAGTGGGTCGGTTACTGATAGATAATCTAAAGATACCACTAAGGAATCAGGAAGTGTGTGGTGACAAATGCTATAAGAATTGTTAAGTGTTAATGTTACTGGAGTGTTCGGTATTGCAACACTGAGCTGTTGCCCTCCTTGGCCTTGTTCTGGGCCCGTACAATACTCCCTTGTATTTCTTGCCAGAGGTGGTGCTGGAGAAGAGGAGCTTGTGCCCCAGGGCATTTGGAACAGTCCTGGCCATGCAGCCTTCATCACAGGATGGATCTTCTTGGGATAGGTCTTGATCAGGGTGGGTGGGTACTGCCCCCATGAACAGCCCTGAAAACACCTTTGAAATGGTTTTGACATTGTCATTATACTTACTATACATGATACAATTCTTTTTATGTAATACCATTTTCAAAGATTCAGATTGCAGCATGTATAATGATGTACATTAATTTTTCTTATGAATCTAAATATCATTTACTTCTTATCCAGTCTAATTTTTTTGCCTTATTTATTATCAGCAGTGCTTATATCTGATCCGTGAAAAATTACAAAGAAGTCTCTATGATTTTACTTTATAGACAGCACTGAGGAGATGTTCTTCAGTTAATAACATTTACCTATGTATTTTATCTAAGATGTTATTCCTTAAAGTTATCAACATGAAGTGGAATCAGACAGCCACTGACAGTTTCACATGCTGATTCTCGGGATTCTGTTACGATGGAAGGTTTCTATTGTTGATACAGTTGTCTGGTAGCATAATCTCCATTTTGCCTGGTAGAGTAACCATATCAATATGTGTCAATATTTCATTGCAAGGTAGATGTTCTCACAAGATGTATAACTGAAGCATAATGAATATTCAGCATTCATAAGGTATTTACATTGCAACTTTTGTTCAATTCTAAAAAATAATCTACCGCCTTACATCACTGATATTTTTGAAAAAAATCTATGACTCCATAGTAAAGGAGAGTACTAGGATGAGAAAAGAGTATTCCTTATTCCTCAAAACAAATACAGGCAATACTCCAGTGGTGTCAGTCATAATCCAAGATTAGATTTCACTGTGAATTTTCCTGTTAGTTAAGACTTATATGAAAATGATGGAGGCTGAAGAAGTCTCACAGGCAAAATTCTGGGGAGCTTAACAACTTAACGGGTTTATGGCAATGAGACTGAGGGGTAATGATTGTCCTTTAACCTTCGAGCTTCTTTAGAGAGTTATGTTTGTAGACTCCATACACTAATGCACTGAAACGTTTATGCATATGAGACCTAAAATGGCGTATTCTGTTCTGTAAATTCCCTGAAAAGCTGTCTTGTCCAAAATTCAGTAGTAGGCTGTCTTCATCCCCAGCGTTGAGTACCATTTCCTTTGTGCAGGTCTCCCCAGAGCCTTCTCTTCTCAAGCTGAGCTCCCCACCTCTCTCAGCCTGTCCTCAGAGGGGGTGCTCCAGCTCCCCAGCATCTCCGTGGCCTCCTCTGGCCCCGCTCGAGCAGGTCCGTGTCCTTCTGCTGTTGGTGCCCCCGAGCTGGACCCAGCCCTGCAGGGGGGTCTCCCAGAGCGGAGCAGAGGGGGAGAATCCCCCCCTCGCCCTCCTGCCCACCCTGCTCTGGGTGCAGCCCCGCACACGGGGCCTTTCTGGGCTGCCAGCGCCCGCTGGTGGCTCACAGGCAGTTTTCCACCCACCAACACCCCCAAGTCCTTCTCCTCGAGGCTGCTCTCCAGCCACTCCTCACCCAGCCTGAGTTTGTGCTGGGGATTGCCCCAACCCATGGGCAGGACCTTGCCCTTGGCCTTGTTGAACTCCATGAGATTTGCACATTCCCCCTCTCCAGCCTGTCCAGGTCCCTCTGGATGGCCCATCCCTGCCCTCAGCGTGTGACCGCACACACAGCTCGATGTTGTCAGTGAACTGGCTGAGGGTGCCTCATCCCACTGTCCATGTCCCCAACAAAGGTGTTAAACAGCACCAGTCCCAACCCTGACCCCTGATGAAGGCTGCTCATTAATGGTCTCCACTCAGACATTGTGCTGTCAATGGCAACTCTCGAGTGCACCCATCCAGCCAATTCCTTAACAACCAAGTGGTCCATCTGTCAGATTTCTGTATCTCCAATTTAGAGACAAGGATGTCATGCAGGACAACATCAAAAGCTTTGCACTAGGAAAACTTTCTTCACTGAGAGGGTGGTTGGTCCCTGGAACAGGCTCCCCAGGGAACGTTCACAGCACCAAGCCTTCAGGGAGTGTCTGGACAGTGCTCTTAGTCAAAATGGTTTAGTGTTAGGTAGCTGTGAGGAGCAGGGAGTTGGACTCAAAGATGCTTATGGGTCCCATCTGACTCAGGATATTCTCATGAAACTTCTGTGATGCTGTCTCATTAGGCAGAGTATACCCTGCCATTCATCAGCCACAATCCTTAACTTTATATTTGTTCTTACTCTGTCTGGGACCCACTATATGTAAGTCCTTTTGAGCAGTTAAATATGATTACAGTATCTTCCCCTATCTCTTCGTTATTAACAATATCAGACTCACACTCTTCACAACTGTCTAGTATTTTCCATCTGTGGTAGGTATGATACATATATATTATAGACATTTGGTTTGATTTTATTATTTTGCACATATATAGGCAGATGCAATAACTTTGCACCAGTGTAATAAGTGTACAAACAGCAAAATAGTAAATAACAAGGACAGTTATCAGAGAGTATCATATAATTCTGAGACAGAATGAAAGGTTTTAAAACGTAAAGTTTACTGTGGCTCATAAAATTCTTCAACATGTTTTACAGATTGTGACAGATCAGCAAACAGGTCAAAAAATCCAGATAGTGACAGCAGTGGACTCGGCTGTGTCTCCAAAGCAACAGTTTATTTTAGCCAGTCCAGATGGAACTGGTGCAGGAAAGGTGATACTGGCAGCGCCTGAGGCATCCAACGCCAAACAGCTTATCTTTACCACCACAGACAACATTGTGCCAGGCAGAATTCAGGTAAATGTAGTAATTGAGATGGAACATAGATTTTTGGTTTTTAGATTATTTAAGTCTATAATTGCTTTAAGACAAATTGCAATAGTTCTCTAAAGATCTAATGACATGGATTAGACCATACTAATTGTAGTCTTTGTCACTCAATTATAAATCCTCCTGTCTTCATGTTCCTCATGCATTCTGTTGCACTCATCACCCCTTGTTGTGTGTTCTTGTTAAAATTCCAAAGACTTAAGATGGTGCTTGTGAGGAGTGTCAGGATTTCAGATGGTCTGTTCAGGGTTCACAGGTACACAGAGATATTGCTCACCTGAGCAAATTTACATTCCCAATGCAGTATCAAGACATTGCAGTAAAAGCTCTTTGGAGCAGAGGCTGTCCTCTGTCATAGTTGTTTGGGGGTCTTGAGCATAACGCACACCAACAGGAGCTTTGCAAAACAAATCATATAAACAATCTGTCTCTAGTGAAATCTGAGATTTCTTCCTAGAAGTTCTAGGGAAAAAAAAGGCACCTGGTCCCTGTTGCTACTGTTACAACAGAGAATGTTTTACAGGGAGAAGTATCATTCTTAGTATATGTTTGAAAAATGGTATTAACAGTCTTCTAAAATTTATTTTACTATGCTAAAAGGATTATCTAATGTTACAGAGGGGTGGAGTTTTTAAATTTTTTGCCTTTAAGTGGAATATTCTGAACAGAAGTTTGAGATGCAAGGCCTTCAGAAGCTGTTTCTGTCCTCTCTGAACCCTAATAGCTAAGAGAAGGGATAGATGGGAACAGTATCTGAAATACAGCATCTTTGGCTAAAATATAGCAGCTGTTTGAGAGTAGTTGTGAGAAGGGAAGAATGCCATTGACTGCACAAGGGAGGAAGCTTCTTTGTACTGCACAAAGCTAGGAGTTTTACTCGGAACTTGTTTTGCTATGACTGCTTGAACAGTCTTGCTATTGACAGTAAAAACTCTCCTTAACTTGCATTTTATACTACTTCATTTCATTCCACGTGTCGTACTTACTCTCAGATTCAGCCACCTCTTCTCAGTTGATACACCAATCTTGTTCTGTGGGCAAAGCTCTTTACTTTCATGTCAGAAGAAAATATTGGCTAATTACCTCTTTCTGTTCTGGAATTTTCTTTCAGATAGTGACAGACTCTGCTTCAGTGGAACGTTTGCTAGGAAAAGCTGATGTTCAGCGGCCCCAGGTAGTAGAATATTGCGTAGTCTGTGGTGATAAAGCATCAGGTAAGGAAGCATAGAAAGCAGTATTCAAGGAACTTGATTGAAATGATGACTGGGATGAAGGGAGGAGATTTCATGTACTTTAATGATTTTTAGCCATGCTGATGGCAAAAGCAATTGAGTCTAAAATGGAAAAATGTGACATTATACTTTGTACACACAGAATAGTTAAACTCTGCTTGGAATATTAGTTTGTACTTCAACTGGAGTGTGTGATAAATTGGCATGTGCTGAAAGACAAAATAATAATTTAATAGCTTCTGTTAACTGAGACTGTTTGAAGCATTTGGTCCAGTTCCCCACAGCTAAGGGAAAGCATGCAGTAAACATGTCACCTGGAAAATTCTGCACGCTCCAGGAAAACACTCCTTAGTGCTCTCTAACGAACTGAAGACTTCCCAGTAGATTTTGGTCTTTTACTATTGCAGAAAAAAGCAAGTAGAGATCAAGTGAATCCTCAGTGTTTCAAATCCATGCAGTAACAAGGAGTCTATGAGGTAAAATTTCTACATTAGCCAAGGAAGCAGACTGTACTTTTATGCTACAGAGAAACTTTTCTGTCTCTCTGTCTTGCTTTTTTAAATTTTTTAAAGTGTTATATAATTAAAACCATGTCAGAATTTTTACAGATAGGAATTTAAAATTAAGATTGCATTTCAGATCTTATTGTAAAATTACTTATATTCTGAAATTACTTCAACTCTTAGCCTCTATGTTCTTTTCATGAAACCAGTAATCTGTAACAGCAGATAGCATTGCATCTGTATTGTCCAGAATGGGAACTACCACTTCACAGGCCTTTCAGTTGTAGGCTTAGCCTTCCCCTCTTCTCTCCGCTCTCCCACCAGAAAGCCCTGACAATAGGTAAACAAGAAACATCCTGTTTAACAACACTTTCATGGTCCAAAACAATGATAAGAATACAGAATAAATTTAAAGTCTGACTTTTGCAATGTTTTCATTAAAATAAATAATTATATGCTCAAATATAACTAATTTCCATCTAATAATATATATGTTTCCTAGGTCGTCACTATGGTGCTGTCAGTTGTGAGGGATGTAAAGGTTTCTTTAAAAGGAGTGTGAGGAAGAATTTGACCTACAGTTGTCGTAGCAACCAGGACTGTATCATCAATAAACACCATCGGAATCGTTGCCAGTTCTGTAGGCTTAAGAAATGTCTAGAGATGGGCATGAAAATGGAATGTGAGTGTTAAGTACCCAGTGTGATACTGTGCCTACCAAATAATAAATGTGGACTACAGCTTTTTAGTGTGTACTCTCCATCTTGGTGTATGTTGCTTGAAGGAAACAGAACTTTCAGCAGCCAAAGCACCTACCATACTTTTCTTTCATCACCATTTTATGTCTGTGGTGCAGCAGTGATTTGCTTTGAACCATGTCTCATACCAGTGTTGTTTTTGAGGAGCCCAGTTAGAGCCACACTTAGAATGCATGTTACAAATGCAGTGTATGTCTGTAATACAGAATAGTTTAGCATGGATGGGCATAAATCCGAGTTTGATGTTCCGCATTCAGAATGTGCTTTCCTTCCGATTTATTTCTGCTGCTTTTCATATTTATTTATATTAAATTTTTATATTTATTTGGTTTATTTGTGAGCATTGTATTATGAGGCATTGTATAAACTGCCATGTTTTAAACAGCTGCTTTCATGTTTGTATGCAGTGCTTCATACAACTCCAGTACTAGCATCCAAACGCCCCTTTCTCTTCTTTCCCTCTGACCTAGGCAGGATAAGTCCGAGCCACTGAGTTCAAGGGAGGCAGAACTTTAAGCTCTAAATAAGGAGATCTTTGTTGTATTTGCACTCTGGAACTCCAGATCTTTAGTGATGATTGTTGTGCTTTGCACACGCTGTGCTGAGTGTAGGGGGGGATGTTTGTGCAAGGGAAACTGCTGCATTTCCAGAAGCTAAACCGTTCTCATCCCAATATGATTTGAATATACGCTTACTGACTCATTGGACGTTGGGTCCATGTATTCAGCAAACCAACAAAATGGATATACCTACTTTTAATCCCCTAAATTTTGCTGACAGTAACAATATTAGTAGAGATAAAATCAGGAGCTAAGTAACTCTTGCTGGATATGAGTATACAGAGAAACATATCTGTGTATTTTACTGTTGCATACAAAAGGACTATAGAGGAGGGTTGAATTTGTTTGTTAATAATGTTAATCTTCTAGAGCAATAACTGCTGTATGATAAATTTGGTCTTTTATTCATTCTATTATAGACATTTTCAGGTGAAAAATGAATGCAGTCAGCTGTTCTCCCAGACTGTAGAGGAGTTTGCAAAGTTTAGTGACTTAGATTCCAGATAACTATGTCATCTGTTTAATAATAATACGTTAATATTATGAAGATGCACTTTTTACTTAATTACTATTTTTAATAAAAGATTTACCACACTTGTTTGGCACATTGGAGACTGAACTTATTTTCTTCAAGTTAACAAGTAAAAATATTTTAAATTCTGAAAAAGTTAGTTTTGGAACAGTGTTCCCTAACTGGGTAGAGTGAATGGATGTGAGTGAATTGCCGGTCATGCAGAGACATGAGTTAATTCCCAGGGAATTAACCTGCATCTCGTGTAACTTGCCTGTCTTGACTTTTTCTGTGTTCATTCTCGGTTTGCATTGTTTTGAATCATCCAGGGTATGACTGTGTCTAACGTTTAGGTATAGCTTTACCTGTAAAAAAAAAATAAACAATTTGAAAACACATTTTGCAGAATCTTCCATCTTATTAAATGCTGATGAAATAGTAAGCTTTGACTCCAGTTTAGCAAAACTTAAAGCAAGTGATCAATCTGTGACTTGCTTAGTTAAAAATGTACATAATCACAGGTATAGTAAAATTGGAGCCTCTGTTTCATCAGTCTTCATATTAAATTTCCAGTTTTGCACTGAGTTGATACACCATCATAACTGTGCAAACTGAAATCCTACTGTGAGAATTTTACTTTCTGCATTTTTCAGTTGAATTATTGCCTTTCAAATCTCCATGTTTCTGTCTTTATGTAGCGGTTCAAAGTGAAAGAAAGCCTTTTGATGTGCAACGTGAAAAACCAACCAACTGTGCAGCTTCCACTGAAAAAATCTATATCAGAAAAGATCTACGAAGCCCTCTAATAGCAACTCCAACATTTGTGGCAGATAAAGATGGGACGCGGTGAGTACCTCAATTTAATGGGCCTTGTTCAAGGTTGTCGTGTATATGACTCTTCAGGCACACGTGTACTCTTTTTTTTTCCCCTCTGCTCTAAAGAATTGGATAGAAAAGAGCTCCAATTCACAAATCATCTGTTTCCATTACCAAGACCAACCTAGACGATTCTGCTTCTCATGAAAGTTTTTATGTCTTGAGTACAGCTGGGTGGTTTTCATTTCAGAGCTGACTCTTGTCCGGGTAGGTCAAAGCACAGGCAGGGCAAATATGATACTCAAACAAAAAGCATGTAGGCTTACCCTGTGAAGCATCTAGATTAGCACCTCTCTGAAATCAAAACTGCAAATGGCAGACTCGGTCTTTCTTCCCCTAAGCACAGTACCAAAAGACTGCAGTGTCTGCTGATTCAGATCTCCAGAGGCTGGTTTCAACAACAGCAAAGCAACAGCAGCTTCCTTTTGGTATAGGAAGATATTCTGAGATGGTTCCCGTGCTCTCAGTTGTCTACAGGCAGTGGGCATGGAAGTGCATATCGTAATAAATAGAGGCAGATTTGTCTTTTTCTGAATAGAATTTAAAAGAACTCTACGTTAAATATTGCATTTTAAAATTTGCAGGTCCAGTTAGTTTATGAGTGCACAATAACCACCTAAAGATACTGGATCTCAATATTCACGTTATTTGTTCCACAGATGACACTGCAGTTAGGAAGACTGGACTGTAAATTTCTTGGAGAATTGTTCTGGTTTGCAAGTCAGATTGTTTAAAAGTACTGCTCACAGACGTATTTGCTTCTTTGGATTTCCTTGTGCTACAGATCCCTTACAGTCCTATAAACAGTATTATTAAATGTGACCTTCTATTATTTATGTAGGATTCAGATTTGCATAACAGGTGATAATTTGCTGCCTGCAGTAGTTCACAATGTTAGTCTCGGACCCCTTAAACTACACATTCCCTGTGGCCTGAACCCATTGTGTGAGCATTTGTCTTGGGTTATTCAGACTTGACTGTTCTATAAGTAACAAACTTACCCTTGCTGACTGCAGAGATTTCCCAGTCTCCCTAAATTAGATACAGCAAAGGGAAAGGGTGTTTGGTCAAAAAGTAGCAGAAGGAAAGGCAGTAGAGACTTTATGCAGACCTTGATTACATGAGTGTTTATGTCTGTATTTTAGAAAGTAAAACATTTTCTAAGAGAGAACTTTTTTTCCAGTGCTGTCTGTTGTCTAACTTGGAATGTACGGTTATGCCTTCCTCTGAAGTCTGATGCATAACTCTAGAGCTATTAAATTTATTCTGAGAGCATGAGAAGACAAGCTTTCTTAAGACAGAATAAACCATCATAAAAAGCAAATGAGAGGATATCTATTTGGGAAGCTGTAATTGCTTTTGCACAGGAAAGGAAAACATTCCAGTCTTCCTGTCTTTCAAGCTAGTTTTGTTTCAAACTGTTTCAGAAAGATGTAAATTCTGATGAATAAACTTCGAGCTTCATTAAATTGTTAATTTAAAAATTGGTAATGCCTTTTATTCTGACATAGGTTGTTACACGTCCTTCTGATTAATGTAAAGTACTATTGACGGTCACATGCCTTATGCTTTTGAACAGGTCAGCAGGTCTTCTTGATCCGGGAATGCTTGTGAATATTCAGCAGCCTTTGATCAGGGATGATGGTACAGTCCTCCTAGCTGCTGACTCCAAGGTATTATTCTTTCAGTTAAGTTCTGAACATATCTATTTACTTGTTCAGAGTATTTTAGCTGTGTACATAGACATACTTGCTCTTGAGAAGATAAGGTTGGGCTAAGTCTGAAAATTTGTACAAATGGAGGTAATGAGCTGATCAAATCCTGAGGAACATGATTTCTTTTCATGGGCATATTTCTGCAGAAGGTCAGCTGCAGGGGCTTCCCACATGGCACGTCAGCCAAGGCCGGGATTGATGACTACAATAGGATTTAAAGATCATTGTGGGACATTGTTCTCCTGGTAGGTGTTCAGGAGGAAGGAAGGGAAAAAGAACACAGAGACTGAAAATGGGAAAAATTTATGTATGATACATCACCTAAAATTTCAATCTACTAATACGGTTCTTCCTTTTTAGGCTGAAACAAGCCAGGGTGCTTTAGGAACACTAGCCAATGTTGTAACATCGCTTGCTAATCTCAGTGAGTCACTAAATAACGGAGATACTTCTGAAGTTCAACAAGAAGAGCAATCTGCAAGTGAGATTACACGGTATGCGTTTACATTTGCATCTTAATTATCAATCCAATTTGTACATATGTACTTACACTCATTCACAGAAGTAATTTGGTGTTTTGACACCAAACATAGTAGAGGTGGTACCTGCTTTGAAACAAAATTCTTTAGAAATCCAGGTTTGGCTGTTCTCTTGTGAAAAACTCTGTCCTGTGTTATAAATGTAGTGTTCTGAAGCTAGACCAGAACTCTTAATGGGGAAAATAATAAGTTACTAGTTTGTGACCTTGAGAGAGTCTGAGAATAGTGACACTTTGGTATTGTTTTATTTGATAGGCTTGTTATATGGAAGCTTCTCCTGTGCAATGCTCGTGCCCTTAGCCCTGCTCTTTAGGGGTCTGTATTACTGCAGATCTCTCTTTGAGATTGTGCTGTCCTAATACCTGCTGGTAGTGTAGGGGAAAATATAGTTAAACTAAGATTAATAAACTTTTTTTTTAATGTTTAGAAGGAGTTTGAAGTCTTTGTTGTCTTTAGTAATGTGAAAAATGGGGAGTAGGAACACGGAATCTTAAAATTTCCAGCGGAACTTGAGATCTGCACAGTTGGGGGTTTTGGTGGGGTTTTTGTTTAAGGTTTTTGGAGGGAGTTGGTGGGTTGAAGGACAAAAATTGGCAGTATAGTGTAATAAGAAAAATACTTGGCCTCAAAACTGTCTGTTCTTTCTCAAGTGGAAGATTTTTCAAGAGAAGCTTAACTCTAGGTTCTTAAGTCTTTTATTTAAACTTGTCAAGTGTGTGAACTGATATTTAAAAACACTTGACACTGCAACTTCAACTTATGTCAACCTGGTACTCTTTCTTTAAAGCAGAAAAAAAAATCCAATACACACACACCCAACTTATTGACAAAAACACTGGCAAAACAGCACTATACCATGCTACTGTCTGCTGGTATGAAATTGGAGCACAAAATGCTTCTTTAAATCTCAGCTCTGTTATCATAAAAAGATAATTTACCTTGCCTTACTTTGGCAGTGGCCCAGCTACAGCTTAAGTATGAGGAGTCCAGGGACCAGTCTGTTTTATGTTACTGTCACAATGTTTCTAAGGCTCTGTCTGTACTGTGAGATCAGGAGTGTCTGGCCATATCTCATCTTAAGGAAATTCAGGCATGTTGTCTAGAAGAGATCCACACTGTTTGCCACTATTCTGAGAAACTGGACTTCAAGGACAGGGAGTGCATTTGGTCTATAATCCTCACATATTCTGTTGAACATTCCAAGGTGAGAGGAGGGGATAGTGAATGGTAAGTGCAATAATGCCCTTTACTAGCACAAATACTAGTATAAAACTATTAGAGCGGGATTTACAATAGTAAAAAGTTCCCCCCTTACAGGGGAGACCTTTTACCAGCGATATATGGGCAGATCTATTCCTCTTATTAATGTCTGAACAGTACAGAGGGGACAGGCTGTAATGAAAAGTCTGACCTTGTGTCAGCATAAACAGTTCCTGCATATGTTACCTCTAAGTGGAAATGCTTTATGGAGTTTAATTTGACCATTACTCTGAATTTTTTTGAGGTGTGAGGAAGCACTCTTTCACTGTTATGACTTTTTTTTTTTTTCTCCAGGGCATTTGATACTTTGGCTAAAGCACTTAATACCACAGATGGTACAGCCGCTCATAACCTGGCAGATGGGATGGATCCTACAGGAGGAGGGAATATTCATGTAATCAGTAGAGATCAGTCAACACCAATTATTGAAGTGGAAGGACCCCTGCTTACAGATACACATGTCACGTTTAAGGTATGTGCTTCTCTGAATGTCTAACTAAACTAACACGTAAGACATAACCCTAAATTAGTTTAGTGTGTTTTCTTTATTCTTATGTTTAATTTTGGCAATGTAAGATAGAGTAACATCTGCTGTTAGAAAGCTTCTAATATAATGTTCACTCTTGCATGCTGTATCTAAAGAGTATAGGTGTTATTTCATAAGAGCTTTTCATAGATAGAAGGATGCTTTAACATTTATTTCACTTTCCAGTGCTGTTGATAATCACTTTCATCCACATAGTATGATATTTTACTTAATCCATTTATAATTCCAGATAGTGTAAAACTTTCATCTAAAAGGCTCCTTTATATAAAGAAAGGTTACAGTGCCATCTTAGATGCTTATGGTTACACCACCAAAAAAGGTCTTGCATTTTAGAGATGCTTCAGCTTCAACGGAATACAAACAAAGCCATGTTTGATAAACAGTGTGTGAGAAATAACAAGGGTGTTCATCTTGCTGCAATCAAATTGCAGTGTTCCAAGAGATACAAAGATCATGACTGAAATAAGTAATACTTAATGTAGTCAAACATTTATCATAACCTGCTTATTCCCATTAATGGTGTTTTGTGACTGTAGATTCCTGTCACATGACTCCCATTTGAGATATTTAGTTTTTAGGTTTTATTTGGCTTCTTTTGTAAATGTTTTAAAAGATCTTTTATAACACTGTGATACTAGCCAATGCTCCGCAGAGCAACGGAATTCATAGATTTAATTAATGAGTATTAAAACATTTAAAAGGAAACATTTGAGCGCTCTCCCACATAATTTTGTGTCTCCTAGTTCCATTTTGCATTCCTTGCCAGTCGTAATGAGTTCTTTAGTACAGTTTTCCTTTGACAATTTCTTGTCACACAGTTGCTTATGACAGACTGTGGGAGTAGTTTTGGTGGTTATTTCATTGATAATAAAAACCGGTTTATGTCTGAACTGTGTATGTTGTACTGTACTTTTATTTCTCTGCAGCTGACAATGCCCAGTCCCATGCCGGAGTACCTTAATGTACACTACATCTGTGAGTCAGCGTCACGACTACTTTTCCTCTCTATGCACTGGGCTAGGTCTATACCTGCATTTCAAGCTCTTGGGTAAATGGACATATTCTGTTGAACAGTTTGCTTTCTAATGAATTTAAGCACTGATCTGAAAACTTTTCAGCTGTTTTGAATTTTTAAATGATGATACTGTTTTAATTTTTAATTAATTCTTTAAAATGTGTGAAGACTATGCAATGTTCTCCTTTTTGAAGAATAAGATAAAAGATGGCAGAGGAGGGGATAACTGCAATATCTGCTGTTACTGTGGTTACAGAAGCTAAAGCCAAATCAAAAGCAGATGTTTGATTTGTAGAAATACATCTTGGTAAAGAACTGGTGAGCACTGTTTTACAAATAACCCAAACTGGTTTCCTGTAGTTGGCCTGTCACTTCTTTTGGCTTTTTGAAATACTTGTAATGCCCTAAATAAATGCCTTTTAGTAAAGGGGTTTGCAATACATTAATCCTTATTATTAGTTGTTAAAATTAACATAATTGCACATAGGGTAATACCAACCTGATACGAAACCTACCTACAGTTGTCTGATGGATTGTTGCCTACAGGCAGGACTGTAATACCAGCCTCGTGCGTGCCTGCTGGAATGAGCTGTTTACCTTGGGCCTAGCACAGTGTGCACAGGTGATGAGTCTGTCCACCATCCTCGCAGCCATTGTCAACCACCTCCAGAACAGCATACAGGAAGGTACGTTCTCATTGTGTCACTCTTGGACATGTTCAGTGCTGCAGGGACGTTTGCATAGCGTTTCCCACGAGGTGTGTCCTCATCAGTGGCAGGATTGTTCCCCCGGACCCAGGAGAAGGAGAAGCCTTCTCTTGCATAATTACCTTTCCTCTGGTGACCTGCCAGGTTTGTTATGCTGACCTTGTGGAGATCTCTGGGGGATAGAAGTACCATAGAAGAAACAGGCATAAGGCTGGGGGATGTACTCTCCTGTCTTCCACATCTGATGGCAGTACAGAGAAAGACAAGTATATCCTAAAGCTGGGTGTGCTCACAGAGCTTTCATCCCCTCCAGATGCATTTTTAAATTTTTTTCCCCTCTTAGAATAATGACGTCTTCTTCCAAGCCACATCAGATTATTTTCCTTCCAGAATTTCCTTCTCCTCTTTGCAGTATAAAACTATAGCATTTGCCAAGTATCACAACAAGACTATTCTTGCAAGCATAATGCTTGCATAAAGCATAATGTTTTGGATGCTTCTATAATGCAGTAATGATTAATTTTGAAGTACCCTGTGAAGCACTAAACCACTTATTTTCTTGAAACTCTTGAGAAGATATATGCAACTTTATTTTTTAATTCAGTGTTGGCTTGTTGATAATGATGACTATATCTAGAATAGATGATAATCTGTTAGGGTTGCTTTTTTTTTCATTCTTTTCTTTAAGGATGCTGCTCCCAATCAATATGATTAATTAGTGTGAAAGTAACATTCCTTTTTTAATAGGAGGAAAAAAACAACACTAGCAGCTTTAAACTCTGCAAACACAGCATATTAAATGAAAACTAGCTTAAATTTAAATGTGAGTTAAAAGTAGTTGCAAAATACTATTTGGTAGTGATCCATTTGATTATTTTTGTGGTGCCATTACTGTGCATACAGCAAAAATTGGAAAATAGGCTTTTACTGAGGAGAATGAAAATTGATTATAGAACTGTAAAATATTTAAAAAGTAGATAATATGTTTAATATCCTTCAGTCCTAGTATTTGTCTTAATCTACTTTATTAAATTGATTATGATAAAGTAAATTAGACAGAAATATGATTCATAAATGGATAGTATGCTTTCATAATGAAGAGGGGAGAGGTGGGTGTTGGGATTATTTTTGTAATTTAAGAGAGCCTGGACAGCCCTGAAAATAAAACAAACTGATGCTCCTTTCCTGCACAGAAAGGCAAGAGTTTTAAAGACCAGTAGGGAAGTGTGCACATTGTATGTTCTGCACAGAGTTAGGTTTTTAGCTGTATCTCTGTCAGAATAGAGCTGTCTGTTCTACCTAAACCCCAGCAATGGAGTTTGTGGCAGAGTAAGTGGTGGGCTACTACAGCCTTAAACTGGATCCACTTCTGTTCCCATGTCTCAAAAAAAGAAAAAAATAAAATTGTTTTACAACCTGTACTGCCAGTCATACTATATTACCTGAGACTGGCCTAGAAAACAGGATTGTTTGGTTTACTATGATTTGTTGATTTGTTTTATTTATCTTTTCTGCAAAGTTACCATATTGTGTATTATAACTTTAAAATTCAAAACAAAGTGAAGACATTTCAGAACTTTATCTTGGAAGCATATTAGTGATGAGGCTATTTGAAAACTGTGGAATTAAATTTCACTTTTCCTGAGTATTTCTGCACTATTGTTTCCTACTTAATATAGAAATAAAAACATTACATCATGTCTGTCTTGATCCATCTTGTGATAATGAGTTTTTATTTACTCAATTCATGTATTTAGAAATTTAGATTATGCTTTCATTTTTATTTCAAGACATTGTGCAAAAATGTTTCTTCTGTTGAATCTTTTTATTGTGTTTTCAAAAATATGTAAAATAATAATAAATTACATCAAAGATTCAGTTTAAGGCACACGGGTCTAAGCAATCATATACAATATTAGCTATACAGACAAAGGTAAAATATTTAAATACAATTATATGAAATACTGGCATTAGAGATCATGGCTTGAATAAAATAATTCTAATGTGTTTCTTGAGAAAAAGTTTTATCTCTTGTGAATTGACTTATCTCTGAAGTTTGATAATAGTAATGATATATTCAAAGATTTGTCTTAATGTAATTTCTAAGGTTTTCGTTCTTTGACTAGTCTGCAGAAATGCAGTCAGAGAGAAGGTATATTTACCAAAATGGAAATCTCTCCCTCCCCAGCTGAGCAGCTAATACCACTCAATTGTATCTTATCCACAAATCATGTAAGATTTTTTTTAAATCAACATTTTAAGAAAGAATATGAAGCCAACATAAGGAACATGATATTTCAAATGATCAAAGAATGTGTGTACATGCATTTAAGTGAATCTACCTCATCAAAAAGAAAAAAGACACTTTAGCACAGTAAATGAAAAATTAACTTCTAAAGTCAGATAGAGGAAAACATAGCACTGTTATTACTGCTCTTGCATTGATTTCTGGAAAAGCTGTTTGAATTTAAAATTAGGATTGTGTGATAGCATTTGTTTTGTGCTTCCCTTCATTGCCAGAATCACTCTAGCCATTTGTAGAATAATTCACCATCATTTGAGACTGTCTGCTCAGAACCGTACCAGAATAAGACTGGTGTTGCAGATTATGCTGTACTGGCAAAATTATGAAAAAGAGTTAACTGCTAGCCCTGTGTCTGACTCGGCTTTATAAATCTTCACTTCCATAATTATTCAGGCTATCCTTACATGTTAAGTGGTTTTAAAATAGCAAATGACACAAAAGACCTTAAAATGTCACTTTACTTGTTTTATAAAAGGATATTGGTGAATATATCAGATATACTTGAGCTCATGTGAAATAGTACACAATATCTTTTTGTAGATAAACTTTCTGGAGACAGAATAAAGCAAGTCATGGAACACATCTGGAAACTTCAGGAGTTCTGTAACAGCATGGCCAAGCTTGATATTGATGGATATGAATATGCATACCTTAAAGCTATAGTCCTCTTTAGCCCTGGTAAGGAATTTAGTAACCATGTCTTTTCAAATAATAAGCATTCATATGTGAATATTTTAGCAATTTTTTGAATGAGACTAATGTCTTGAGATGAGACTGATATGTTAAGCTGTAGATTAAACAATTGTTCCATAATGATTTATCACAAACATTATGAGTTTTAAAAATAAATTTGGAGCAACATATCTATGTTATTTACAGTTTTGATATATCAGGTACTTTCTGTACACCTGTCTTAGAAGACTAGACTGTTACCTTTAGGTGAGAATCTGTGAGTACTAAGTTATCTGGGACGTGTACTAGCGATATTAGTGAAGCAAATAGCAGGAAGGATTAGGGGAAATTCACACAGTGACAAAAAGAAATTGGCTTCAATTTTAATATTTCTAATACACTCATAAGAGGAATCCCTGAAATACGAGCAGAAGTACCACTGTATTTTACATGGAGCTTCCACAAAATCTCCAAAACTAAATGTAAACAGGCTGTCTTCAATTTGTTACCAAAAAAACAAACAAACAAAACAAACAAACAAACAAAAAGACAGCAGACAACTAAAGCATGATCAACAGTGTTTGACATATGAGGATTTACTCCAAGAAGACACTTGAGATTTTCTGGAATAATAAGGTAAGGACACTAAAGATGGGAAGGTGGAGAAATGTTCCTGGGACACAGAAAGGTTAATTTAGAACTGTTGACAGACTTAAATGAAAGGGAAACTCTTGCTCAGAAATGTAAATTATTTACTTTAATTCAAATGTGTTTACCATTTTGAATTTAGCAAAATACAAAGAAAAGGAGTATCTTGTTGTCAGGGGTATTGTTATTTTTTTTCCCATTTATATTATTTTTCTCTTTATAATAAAACTTACTTTAATTAGAAGATACTGGTGTCCTGAAATTTGCTTTCGATTTGTTTTTGCAGATTGTATCATTAGGGTTAGCTTTATTAGGGCTTTTATTCAAGTTGTAGGAGCAAGAAACTCCAAATTTATGCTAGCTCTGTCCCATTTCAAGGGAAGAGCAGTTTGAATGCAACACTGAAGATATTTGGGCATAGTCAGATATGTGGTATTTTGGGTTTTTTTCTGATTATGTGACTGTCTTTGAGGAGCTGAGCCAGCTGCATTAAAACACAAGACAGACTTAGGAAGGTCAAGAAATTGATCTGTCAAGAAAACAATCCTAGATACCACTCAGTCAGCATAGTTAGTCAAAATCACAGAGACAAACACATTTGAAAAAGCAAGGTTAGAAACATAAACTAGGAGTGTCATTGCCTAGTACATAACTACAGGCTTAATCTTTTTCCACTTTCTTGTGGATACACACAGATAGAGAGAAGTGAGCAATCTGATTCTGAAGCCAGGAAGCAAATGTTGAGTCCTTTATACAGCTAACATGTTAAACATCACAAGAGAAATATTTAAATGGAATGAAATGCAAGAATCTTATAACTACATATATTTCACAATGTATAGGGAAACAATCGACATACAGAAATGTTTTGTTTCTTTAGATCACCCTGGTCTGACCAGTTCAACCCAAATAGAAAAATTCCAGGAGAAGGCACAGATGGAATTGCAGGACTATGTACAAAAAACCTATCCAGAAGATACTTATAGGTATTTATTGTCTATAGTACCCAAAGTAATGTTGTGGGCTGCAGCTGGCAAAAGTACAAAATAACATCAGTAATGTACAAATTTCCTTTTTGACATCTGTTCTTTTCTGACTATTGATGAGAAAGAACTAGAACCTTGTTCATGAAAGCAAGCAGGTTTATTTAAAGATAGGTAGAAGTAAGAACAACTGTTTAGCTTCTTCCATATAAATTAAACTTGAATACTTCTTTTTGAGTTTGGTTTTTTTGAGAGTCTTATTGCCATGTTTAGAAAAGTAAACAGACTTACTTTATTAGAAGTCTTAAGAGTAACTGCCTCAACTGCCTCAAATTTCTTTAATTCAAAGTTGTCAAAGAGGCTTTGAGATAGTAAAAGGTGATTATCATCCTTTCAATGTTTGTCAAGTTACACATGCAGAAAAGTAATAAAACTCACAGTTTATAAACCTTGAAACAATAAGGATTACATGTGGGGAACAGTAGCCAACTCTTAAGTTTCTCTTTATAAGAAATTCTCACATCCTACTTATTTCCTCCTTCGTTTTTTTTTTAAATTTCCAAGGACTTCTCTTTTAAAGTATCTTTTTTTTTTTTTTTTTTACCTCTCAACTGTTCCTGTTTCTTACTTGCTAGAAATAATTATCCTATTTTCTAATAATCTCTATCAAAACTATTTTAGATTTCATCAGCACAATGATTCTCTGCACTACAAGGGAAATTGTAACTTTTGTTTATCAATATATCCTAGAACATACTACCTTTTACTGTGAGAGGTATCCCCATGTAAAGAAGCATGCAATCCCATATATTTAAGCAAAGTCTGAGGGTAGTGTAACTTTAAAACAAACAAACAAACAGCCTGTAAAAGAGAGAGCTTTTCCCACCTCAGAAACTCTTTTCTTCACTGATCTTACAGTTAACATTGTGTGGGGCAACAGAAAGGGGCATCAGGATTCCCAGTCAGGTGCAGTGAAGATGGGATTCTCTACAGAAATATCCTCAAATGCCACATTCTTCTTTATACAGTTCAATTATTCTGGTTTGATGCTGGATATCTGCCATAAAAAGAATCTAGAATTTGTTACATATACTCATGCCTCTTAATAGTGGCTTAAGGAAGGAAATTAGAGTTACATTTCCCAGTGTCCTGTACTTTAATTGATAGTGTCTGTATCCCCATGATCACCCATAGATTAAGTTAGAGTACAAACCTGATTATTTCTGAGCAACTGAATGCTGGCACAAATTGAGATAGAAGCACAGGTGTTAAAATTTTTGCAAAAACAGCAGCATAGATGAATCTCTTTGCAGTTTTCCCCTTAAGTTTACAGGATATGATATATTACCAGAACAGACCTTCTATATTTTCTCCATAGATACTTAATAATTTTCCAGAGGTCTGTGTTCAGTGCCACCTAAGGTTTGGTATTACACAGCTCTGGTTCAGGAAATGTTTGTTTTGTGATGTACATCTGCCATATGAATGAAAGCAGACATGCTTTCATTACTGTCCTAAATTTCAAATGCATTGAAAGTCCAGAAATTCAATACAATCACTTCATTATATTGGATGTCTGTTAACTTCCCGGTACATAAAAACCCACAGCATCTGGCAATATGTATGAATGACAACACACCCCTACAAATTCACTTTCTCATCAGAAGCAGATTCTCTAACCTCCTTTTATACGTATTCCATCCCATTCTTGCTATCTGATTTGTCATTAAGTTGCTAGGTAACTCAGGACTATGCTGTTTATGGTTTAAATTTTAATTAAGCATTTTACTCGTAAAATTGTGCAAATATTTTCACTAGTCACTATGGATATTATTAGTCTCAGCGTTGTCCTGAACTATGAAGTACTTCTAGAGCTGGGAATTTCAAAAGCAGACCAGGAGAACTGTGAGTTTGTACATACACAGGGCATTAATATGTCCTTTTCACTGGAAAACCACCAAGAAAGCCGGTGGCTTTTCATTTCCCATGCAAGATAGAAAAGTAACCACTCTTTATGGTAGCTCAATTAGCTTAAATTGCTTCTTTACTCCCATTCATGAGTTATGGTAATACTAAAAGTAGATCCAACTCTTCAGTCACAGAGTATTTTAAACTGGTATTACATGTATTTATAATCCACTGAACTTCTTTTTCAGGCTAGCCCGGATTCTAGTTCGCCTGCCAGCACTTAGGCTGATGAGCTCTAGCATTACCGAGGAACTGTTTTTTACTGGTCTCATTGGAAATGTTCCCATTGACAGCATAATCCCCTACATTCTCAAAATGGAAACAGCAGAATATAATGGTCAAATAACTGGCACATCTGCATAGTGGGAACAGCAGCACAATTTGATGGATTGAAGTAATTTTCGTAAAAACATACAATTACGAAGTTAGAAGAATAGCATTTTGGTATGTATAGATGTTTCCAACTTGTTATCAGTTTCCTGTCAGATTTGTCCTTGTCTGTTTGCTGACATTGACAAAATTTAAGCAGCTATAAGGAGACCTGTTATAGGACCTTTTCTGCCACAAGGAATATTTTTTATGCCTTTCATTTAAAAGGCTATAGATTACAAAACATACTTTTCACATGCTTTGTATTTAGAAATTACCAGTGGTTAAAAATAGAGTTTTATAATATCAGAGATTAGTAATAAAATTACTTAAAAAAGAACAGTATGTATATATTTAAAAATATCCTTGGAATTAATATCTAATAAATGCCAGGGTATAATACTAGCACTTTGTAAGCACTTCTTGTCAAAGTGACAATGTCATCAACATCCTGCTTATGAGTATGGAAAATGAAAAAAAATTGCGTATGTCCTTAGTCAAAATGCTAGTGATTTCTGTGAAAATGTAGGAGACAATCATTTATTCTACAAAAAGTCACTTGCTCTTACGTTATGCATGAAATATTAATGTGGATTTTTAAATCGGCTATCCACATTATATGAAACGATACTGTTAAATTAGTGCAGTTGTAATCCACAGTATAATGCAGTGGTAGTGACTATTATGTGCTACAGGAATTACCCAAACTAGGAGGAAAAAATGTGTTTCTTGCCACAGTAATGATGAAATATTCAGGTTTCTTAAAGTTTCTATTCAGACCAACAGTCATGACAAATGTTACTCTAATAGGAAGCGTTTTGACTGTGAGGAAAATCAGTCATTAACTGGAAGAAGAGTCATTTTCAGGTAGAGCTGTGTGATGCACTTTGAACTTCCAAATTTACTCCTCCTCTCTGTACTCCTAAACACCCTCTTCATCCAGCCAGAGGTACAATGTAAACCCTGAAATGTGTGGAACCTCTGGCTGTCAGCAGGAGGATATTCCAAAGCTCTTACTTTATTTCTCCCCTCCTCCCACCCCTCCCTGACTGAGCACTCCCAGTTCTGCAGTGCTCTCAGCCCTCCTGTGACTCAGTTTGAAACTGAAATACAGTTTGAATTTACAGTCAGTCATGTACAATTGCAGTTAATGACTGATACACCACGGTGTTATGAAATTAACTACTTTTTAATTGTCTAGAGTGATGAGCCATTGACATGTCTTCTAGTATTGCCCATTAGCTGCTAGCGTTGCTTTCATTTTAGTATAATTTATTGACATAAAAACTTTGGATTGTTTGAAATATTTAAAAAAACCATGGCAATTAATACCTTCATCTGATCCTGGCTCATTACATGCATCAATTATTTTAATTATCTGTATGGTAGAGTCATTTTCTACTTAGGTGGTTTTATGTGACAAAAATCTGATGATAAGTTCAGCACTTTTGATTTAGTTCTGTTATTGACATTTATTTAGAAACATCAACCAGATTGGTGTCTGTGTCTTTTAAGGGTCTGGAATTGTAGCCAAAAGACCTTAAGCAGCTCCAGATGAGGCTTCTGATGTAATAAAAAGTCCTGACCTGGTACACTTCATTTTCATCAGGAGGCTCTGCTTGTAGCACTCATTGTGACACAGAAGGCTGTTAAATTTTAGCTTCTGGATGCATTAATGTCTTCTACAGTTACCTTTGTTACAGCATTCAGAATCTTCTTTTCTCAAAAGGGTGTTACAAAGAGTCCAGTATACATGCAGAGATTTAATATTGCACCTTGGTTTATCTTGGCTTTTGCTATAGCAAATGAAATTTTCATATTTTTAATGAGATGGAAGGTCCACACTCTGAATGTTAAGTCAACTGGAATGCAGAATTTTGTAGTAGCTGGTTTGTTGCAGTGTAACTTCTTGTGTGATTGTGCCAGCACTTCCAATGCACAGTCCCTGTTTTAAGGATATACGACTTAAAAATTAATTGTGATAATAACTTCAGAATTAGCTGCCTTAGAAAGCGTTGTGGCCATTTTTGTTAAAATTTTGTTGGGTTATGTCATTGTTGTTCTAAAGCAGTATGCACTGAACTATAGTGATATTTTTCACTGGAAAAAAAGATTATGCAGATTAATTTGCTTTCAGTATTTTGTAAAAATTGTGGAAGCATTGTTAGTGACAAATGAAATATTCCTTAGCACAAAAACTAGCCATTGGTATCTTTTCCCAAATTTGCATGTACACCAGATGGCTTTTTCATGATTTCATCATTTTAACTTCCAATTTTTCAAGTAAAAGGTCCCCATTTTCTGTGCAAAAAATTGTTTTCCAAATATTTCTTACTTGTGCTCTGAGCATAACAGTTCAGGGAACAAAACAAAGCTGCCATAGTGTTTTGGAAACAGAGGGATTGCATGAAATAAAATGTATGCATCGTATTATATTTCTAAATCAGAATGGTAAATATCATGCAGCTCCGATTACAAATAAACTACTCTCCCTGCAAATGCAAGGCCACATAACAATATCCTTGATCCATATCTGGTAGTCCCTTACTCTACAAATAGTTTCCTGGATTTGGGGGATAAAATACTAATTTGTGTAAATGAAGTAACAACAATGCAATCCGTATCCAGGGTTTATTTATTGTGCATGCATTTAATAGATGAAATACTTAAGATTCTGGTATTGCCACCTAAAAACTGTAAAGTCTCTCTCTGTATAGCACCATCAGCATGATTTGCTGGCTTGCATTAGTCAAGACCAGGCTAATTTAGTCCTTATGCCATTAACAAAAAGCACTTTCTCTATCTATACACTGTTTTGATTCCAAGACTAACAGTTTTGATTGTAGAAATTTGGACAGCAGATGGCAGATCCTAGAGCTTAAGGAATATCCAGAATTAAAATGTTTTGCATATTTGAATATTATCTATAAATAATAAGACAGATGTGATAACATAACACTTCTTTCTAACATGCTGCTCAAGGGCTGTCATAAAAATGAGCCAAAGATTTGGCATATGATGGAGAACCACTGAAAGGAATTACTTAAAACACTGCCATGTAAAACTGTAAACTGTCTTCTCCAGTGCGGTAGGGTTCCTTTGTGCTAAATTTCAAGTGTAATCACAGAATGGCTGAGGTTGGGAGGGACCTCTGAGGGTCATCTGGTCCAGTCCCTCTGCTCAGGCAGGGCCACCTACAGCCAGCTGGGCAGGACCGTGTCCAGCAGCTTCTGAACGTCTCCAAGGAGGGCGACTCCGCAACCTCCCTGGGCAGCCTGCGCCAGCGCTCGGTCACCCTCACAGGGAAGCAGCGTCTCCTGATGTCTGAGAGAACCCCCTGTGTTCCAGGTTGTGCCCACTGCCCCTGGCCCTGTTACTGGGCACCACCGAGAAGAGCCTGGCTCCATCTTTGTACCCTCCCTGTGGGTATTTATAGCCACCGATGAGACCCCCCCGAGCCTCCCCTTCCCCAGGCTGCAGTCCCAGCTCTCAGCCTCTCCTCAGCTGTGAGGTGCTCCAGTCCCTTCATCACCCGCGTGGTCTCTCCAGCCTGTCCCTGTCTCTCTTGCACTGGGGAGCCCAGCACTGGACACAGCACTCCAGGTGTGGCCTCACCAGTGCGGGCAGAGGGGAGGGATCCCCTCCCTCGGCCTGCTGGCAGGGCTCTGCCTAACACAGCCTGGGGTGCCATCAGCCTTCGCTGTCGCAAGGGGATGTTGCTGGCTCACGGTCAACATGGTGTCCACCAGCCCCCCCGGGCCCTCTTCTGCCGAGCTGCTTTCCAGCCGGGTGGCCCCAGCTGCAGGGCCCCTGGTTGTTCCATTCCAGGGTCAGGGCTTTGAACTTCATGAAGTTCTTGTCAGCCCGTTTTTCCAGCTTGTTGGAGTCCCTCTCTGGCAGCACGACCCTCTGGCCTACCAAGCTGATCTTAGTGTAGTCTTGTAGTGAAGTTATTTTAGCTCATTCCAATAAATCTTTTCCTTGTATGTCCATCCATAGAAGATGGATGTTAAAGAGACACAGAACTGATGAAGGGATTCTTTCTGCCAGCAGTTCAGGTGTTGCTTGGTAGCAATAGAAAAAGGCACATCTGAGGAAAATAGGCCTCACAAAGCTGTTCTTGCTCTATGTTAACCTTTGTCATTATTTTCAGCCTCTTCTGGTGATTGGGCTTTCAGGCCACTCTACCGTAATGAAGGTAGAACCATGTCCACCATACAGCTGCAGGCTCATGCAAGGTTCAAACTGTCTCTGCAGAAAATACTACAGTGCTGAAGTAGTTCTTGTAATTTCTGAGGCTTGTTTCATACCCCTGCCAGTAACTAGAAGATGGTGACAGGCTAATCTTACCAGTTTTACTTTTAAATTAGTTTCATTTTGTTTCTGCTTTGCAAGTGCAAACTTTCTGTTATGAATGCGGGATAGGAGAGTTTTTTATTATTGTAACAATTATTAAAAAACTATTTATTGGGTTTAAGTATGGAAATAGCTTGTTTTCATAAAGGCCAAATTTCCGTGCCAAACTTATGTTTACAGAACTAGGAGTCAAAGGATCACAGTCTAAAAGTGATTCTGAGAAACCTGACATCTCACTGAAGCTCTATTTAGTGCCTAAAATTCACTCTCTCCAGAATTTTTGAGGTCCTGTTTCTGCTGCTCTTGAAATTAGTAGAAAAATAGTGACAAACTGTCTGACTAGATCTATCTGAACTTGAGTACGTGTGTGTACTGGTACTAATTCATTCAGAGAAATGTTGGAATTCTGTGCCGACTGAAACTGGGGCATGCAGGGAGAGGTAATGAGTTCTCCATGTACTTCATTTGTTTTCCAACTCTTTTGAGAAGGAACTCGATTTGAGTTTTGTAGATAAATAGAACAATGACCAATAACCGTGTAGGAGCATTATGGGTTATCCTTGTAATAATTATTTCTATTGTATTTGTGACAAGACCAAGAAAGTATACTGCATTTCTTTCCTTAATTTACTTACCTTGGACTAAAGAGACAGAACTAAGACCATGTGCAAAAGTCATCCTTCTCTGCCTATTTGCATTGCTTGTAAATTAGATACAATGCTTTTGGTGCCAGCGGAGTTACTCTGGCACTGAGCTGGTAGAAGAGGAAAAAATAATCTGCAAAGAGAGATCCTTCAAACAGATCATACACGCTTTCATTTTAACTGCCTTAAAAGGTTAGATTATTAAGGAGGCTTAGTTTTCAGAGCACTCCTGGGGAAGAACCTGTTAGTCACCACTGATTACTTGGTACCATTTCCCCAGTCTCTCTTCATCATGGCCTGAAGCACTTGGCCCCGGGGCAGCCGTGATGGCTCTGGTGAGGAGCACGGAATCAGATTTCTGTGCTGAGTACAGCTGGCTCTGCGGAGTCACCATGAGAGCACCCTTTGGCAAAGGGCATGTTCTCAGATGTGATAGGGAAAACAAGTCAGGGCTGAAGCTTCCAGGGGAAACCAGTTTCCTGATTGTTTCTTTGGCAGACTGTAAAGCACACTGGTGTTTTTGTTGTGTGTAGCACACGGGACTTTCACAGATTCCTGGATGATTTCATCCAAATTGCTGATGATGTCAGTACATCTTCCTGCCCATTAAGGCTAAGAGGGTAGTTAGGATTCTTCCCTGATTACCTGATGTTTAATTAGTAAGGAAAAATTTAAAAAGCACCAAGTAGCATGAGTAGCAAGGGTATCAGGAATACAGTTTAGCCAGGAGAAGGGAACTGGAAATTACCTAGGTGAAGATACTGCCAATGCAGCAGCAATGGAAGCTTTATGCAGTAACAGCACCAGTCAGGGGCCCTGTTTGAAATGGGTGGTGGGAGCAGTAGAACAGGTCAGTCAGGCACTCACAGGTGCATCAGAAGATGAAAAACCAATAGGATTAAAATTTTGTTTTTCTATTTGAAATCCCCCTCCTCTCCTTCAGTTGTTCTTTACAGTACAAAAGCAGAGTAGGTTGGTTCTTCTTTATCTACTCTTGCCCATAAGAGAAAAATCTGAAGTACCAGGCAAACAAATAGGTTCCTGTCTGTCCCAGTACTCTGCCACGCTTCCATACATCAGAAGAGCTGCCGTGGTGGTTGGCTCTGACGATAAGCACGGGGTGGGAGCAGCCCACAGCATCTGCAGTCCTAATGCCTCTGTCTGTCCAGGGAGAGTCGACAGAACGAGGCTGTGTTCACCCCACATGGGAGAGAGGGTCTGAGGAAGGACAAACTGCCAGCATCAGCTGGATCCTGAATGACAGCGAATTAGTTTCAGAAGCAGCTTTATATGAAAAATTACCAAGGGGGCATGGCAAAGGGGAGAAAATAAAAAACATTTACTTTCATTCTAAAGTTGCTGATTTATTTTAACAGTAGATTCTCCTGAACCAAGTTCAGACTTATTGTTTGACGAAAAATGCCATAACCCCTCTTGTAGATAATTCTACAACCCTACTTCTGCTGCAGTCAATGTTATCAACATTATATGGGAAATTAATTGTGCAAAAAAGATTAGAATATTATTTATACTGAAGTTGCAAGTTAAAGTAGAATTCTTCATAAAGTTTAAATGCTCAAGGTCTAAATATATTAGACTTGGAAAGCATCACACCCAAGAATTACCTTATCACTGACCATTTTGTTGTGAAGTCCTGCGGGGTTCATCACAGATAATGCTGTCATAATGTTCCATAATTCCCACAGCCTGTTGTATCCTCTGAGTTACACAGATGTTTTGAAAATGGCTTATTATGGTTAAATTCATGCCTGATTTTCTTCTTTTTAAAGGGTTTGATAGATTTTTTACATGTCTTTACTTTGTGCCTCCCACCGTTGTGCATTTCTGCATGTCCAATCCTAAAACTCACTCGAGCAGCTAATGCATATGTACATAGTTGTATGTATGTGTGTATGAATGTACATGTTTATACCTATCTGTCTAAATATATTATGTACAGTGTATAGAAAGTGTGTAGTGTATGTATATATGTACAGATATGTAGTCATGTATTCATACCATTCTGTATGTTAAAGCTTTTCACTGATTTGCCAATACAGAGCTTCCTAGTGTTCATTTCTTAGTCCAACTAAGCCTCACTTAAGCAGGTGAATCCTCACAAATTTCAGAGCTTTGTACCTTTTTCTGAACCCAGCCTGAATTTAGTATTTTCTGTTCAGAACTGATAAATATATGCCATGGATTTTCTAGCTTTTACATTACTCCCTTTACCTTTTCCGATTTGACATGTAGAAGTCTGACAGTGAATAGTTAATTGAACATATAATGTCTGTTAAAAATAAATAAATAAATAACTATAGTCATAGAAAATAACTTCCCTGCATTCAATATATACTCATTCTCTTTCAGCCTCCTGAGAGACCTTTTTGTAAAGTTTTATTTTGCAGCAAAACTTGGTAAGAGATTGATTTTACTTTTTTTTTTTTTTTTAAGCCTTCAGCAGGGGTTAATTGGAAGCAAAACAATTTGCCCTTTATCATTGAACTGCAGCATACAGAACAGGATGCAATGGATGCTGTTCCAATAATCAATACTTATATTGCCACAATGATAACATGAAAACAAACTGTTAGTTAAACGAAGACTGTGTGTCCTCTGTTCAGTGAAACACTTCTGTTACAGTAGTAATTAAACAAGAGGGAGGCTGCAGTTAGTTTCTTTCTTGGCAAGCATCAAGACTGATTTATGATTTTCATGATGCATTTCAATTGTATGTTCTCTTTCCAAAGTTAATCTCTTCATTGTCTAGCTTAAACTAAACAGAGATGGCTGGTTCATTGGGGTTGTCAGACTAAGGTCCATTGTCACGTCTGTCCCTTCCCGAGACTGTAACCTGTGCAGATCTTGCACCCTGCGTGTGAAGTGCCCTGGGTTCACATAGGAGCTGGGCACGTGGATGGAGCATTGATGAAACCAGGCTTGCAGTAAGACAATTCATTACTCGTAGGGAGTATTCAGACATTTCAATTAATCAAAATAGAAGTAGTTGTTCCTTTTCCCTTCTGATGATTCAAGTTACAAAGGAAGCCTTCTGTAAAGTATTTCTATGACCTTTTATTTTTTTAAAAAGCATTTCACAGACTTTGTAGGGGAGTAGTTCAGCAAGTCTTGTTTCTGTCATGCTAAAAAGGTAAAGTGGTATTTTCTAGGCATTTATTTCCATCTTCTGTACTTCAAGCAGATGAGCAGACACCACTTAAAATAATGTAAGCTTCTTGCAGGCTTAAAGTAAACCATGAGTGTCTTTCAGTCAGGCTCTCTGCTTGTGAAGTCTTTGCTATGGAAAATGCTAAGAATGTTCTGTATTTCTTGCTGTACTGTTTAGTAAGTGTTTGTAAGCTTTTGTTTCAAACGTAGACAAAAATTGTAAAACATCCATTTTAACATTTCAAACCTTATTTTTGAGATTTTTAGTAGGAAAATTATTTAAATTAATATCAGGAATTCCTGTGACAGGTGGTCCTTCATTGGTGTCTTGACAATCAGTGCTGTTTGAATAATGTTTGCTTTCTTCTTTCAAGGCTGAATGGAAACCGGAATGTCTATTAATGTCACTGTACTGCAGTAATGTTTTTAAAGATTAGAAAGCCAATTGGAGTATTGATCAAGACTGAATCTGTTTACATGAATTTAGAAAAAAGAGCATATTTTAAAATTGTGACTTTGTTTCATACACACTTTTGAATTGTTTGTATTCTGAAGGACAAAATGCGCTCAAATTTAAGTGACAATAAAGTCTCTGTTGTAACAGTCTGTGGAAACTGGAATGTGAGATCAGCTTTCTGTATTTGATCACAGAAGTCAAAAAGTCTGAGAAGCACATCTACTGCCAGGTATCTAACAGCCCTGAATAACTAGCTTCTATTACATTTTTTTAAATTATCTTAGATAAATTATAATAAGGCACAGGTCCATTTTAAAATATTTTCAATGATTGTGGGTTAAAAGTGGGGCTGAACGAACTTCAAATAAAAATTATATGCTTTAAGAGGAAAAACGTGTTACTTACAGAGCCTATATGTTAAATTTCTCACACATGGAATCAATGTTGTGTAGGAATATTTTTAATAATTAATCTATAGTCCAAAATACATTGCCAGCCAGTGTTCAAACAATTTCATAACTGAAGAACTGCACATTGTGTAAGTGTTGTATGTGTTTGGCATACCAGGGCGTTTGGGGCTCCTACAAAAATAGCAAATTTTTATAAAAGGAATCATCTACTTTTCATTCCTTGGGATATTTTCTGGAAGTCTCTGTTCATTATAATTTAGAAAAATTGTTTATGTTATTATACCTTAATTTCAAGTTAAAAACCTTGCAGAAGTTGTTAATTTCTCACAGCTTCTTTTGTGAAATCAGCGTTGTTATGTGTGATAGCATTTAAAAATAATAGCATGTTCCTTTTTTTAATCTGAATTTTATATCTAATCAATGTCTTCAGTCATGAAGAGGAATTTGCATTGTTGTGTTTGTATATAGAGTATTGCAGTGCATGATTTAGCTTATGCATTTTATTAAATGCTGTTTAAATGTGGCATTATATTGTTGTGGCTTAATACTACTACCTAAACGAGGTTTATACCATTAAAGTGAATTACAAATATAAATGCATTCCTGAGTTTTATTTTTAAGTTCACTTAATTTCTTCTTAAGCATTAGGTGTCTAAGCTAAATACTTAATTTAATATCTTCTAGGGAGAAACAGTATTTTACCTTCACTACAGTCAGAAGATAAATCCCATGAACCTTACTGACGCCAGGGAGCTACTTCCAGGAGAAGGACCTTTTCCTAAAGGTTTTAATTCATCTTCTCGAGCTTTCTGGTTTTCTTCAATTTTTTGAGGAGAGAGGTAGCTATTAGTAGACAATGTTTACTTTTATCTGGTAGCATCTTCCTCTTCCCTAGCTTTTAAATTAAGGAGATGTACTGGCTGTAGTTTCAGCTTCCTTCACACATGCATATTATAACAGAGGTAACGACTTGGCCTCTGTTCCAGACCTCCATTTCATATATAACATGGTTGAGGCACACAGCATGTATTTATCTAGAGAAGATGATGGATAGTTCATTTCTTGTTACTGCTGTTAGAAACCATACAATTTGGAAAAGTTTCACTTGGCAGAAACAGGGATAATCAGACTTTAGGATTCAGTTGTTAAAACTAGCTGTCTACAGGAAAAACATGCATGGGGGAAAAAAAAGGTCTGTTTCATTTAGAGGCCTGCTGTGAAGCAGGAGTTTTTGTTGCCCAAGTTTGAAAAGGTGGAGCCTCTGCCAATTGAAATTGTGTGGACACAACAGAGCATTTGTTATTCTATCTCTAGAGCATCTAGAAACAATGACAGGAGCTCAGAAGGGTGTTTGTTCCTAGTCAGGATCAGTGTGTGTTGACAGAATTCCATGTAGGGAGCGTTTGTATATCCCATGGCATAAACTCATGCATTGAGGCAAGGCAAATTTTTCTTGAGCACAAAATGCATTTTTTGACAGAGCTGACTTGTTACAAAAAATGTACATTGATTCATGCCGTGCCAAATAATATATTAAATGGAGTTGTTTTTTATATTCAGATGCTTAATAAATAATGAAAAAGTAAACAAACAAAACCTCCTCGCCATTAATAGCATGTTTCAGAAATTTAATTTGCATCAGGATGTTACTGGAAAGGGAAGCAACAGAAATGAAGTTCAAAAAAAAAAAAAAGCATATGATTAACCTTTAATTATTTTCCCCAGGGCAGCCCTTTCATGTGTCCCCTTAAACTGTTAAATAAGGAGTTCCTGCGCCTGCCCGGCTCTGCCAACGCCACCCCTCTGCGCGCCCTTTCCCCTGCCCCCTTTCTGCGTGTCTTTGCCTCCAGAACTCGAGGCCGCCGGGGCTCCTTTCCGGAGGCTGTCTCTTATAC